CGCCCCGGCTCCATCCTGGCCCCGCCCCACCCCTGGCTCCATCCTGACCCCGCCCCTGGCTCCACCCTGGCCCCGCCCAGGCCCCATCCTGGCCCCGCCCTGCCCCGGCCCCGCCCCTGACTCTGTCCTGGCCCCGCCCCATGGTCCTCTGGGTTGGAGCCATTTGTGGGCCTGATTTTGTGGCCTCTCAGGGCTGTTGGGTGAAAATGCATTTTGCAGCTGGGGTAGCTCCTGAGGAACTTTCTGGTTAGCCTCAGCTGACATCGAGCAGAGTCTCGAGACACGTACTGAGCAGTGAACTGAGCTGGGCCCGTCGCGGCCTCCCCTCCGCCCTGCCCTCATTTCCAGCTCTCCTCTGGCGGAGGAAGGAGGAAAGGCTGGGTCTGCGGGCCTCATTCAGCGTGTCTTCCCACCCGGGAATGTTCTAGACCCAGACTGGAACCCCAGCCCTGGGTACCTTTCAGTCCCTCTTCATCCCCTGACACCTGCTCACGGACTCCAGCCCTGCTGCCTTGCGCCTGGGTCAGTGTGGTGGACTTCGACGCCCACTCTGAGGCTGCATGTGGGGTCGCCCAGGGAATGCCTAGGGCAAAGGGCACCAGACACAGGGGCCACACAGGTAGGACTTGGGTGGGTTAGCACAGGTGTCATGGGCCAGTACAGGTGTGATGGGTTGAGTACAGGTGTGTGGATTAGTGCATTTGTGGCTGGGGTCAGTACAGGCATGCTGGGCCCCTCGCGGGCCTCCTTCCCCATCTGGGGGGGCGTCCCGGACACTGCCGTCTCCTCAGCTGACTGTCTGACCGTGGCTACTGCGTGTCACCGTGGGCCGAGGAGCGTCTCTGACCGCCGCGCATGTGTGGGCATTCGGGAAGCAGCAGTTCAGTGCCCGGGGCCATTGCCTGCTGGAACTGTGGCCTGGCCTGCACATGCTAGGCCACGTATGTGGCGAGTGCCGCCTCGGTCTGTCTGGCCTTCAGTAACAGGTGACAAGGACAGTGGGAGACACCAGGCCTGGCTGTGTCTGTGCTCCCGGTCAGGTCCTGCTACAGCTTTTGGGCTGAAAACCATCTCCCGGGCGGCCCTTGGCTGACGGACCCAGTGCCCGACCCCCATTTGGCCGGGAGTAGTGCAAGACAGTGCTCAGAGCAGGGATCCGTGGCACTGACTCCCTGCAGACAGTCCTCACGAGCCCTTCCTGGAACTCAGTTCTGTCCCCACCACCCACCCCCCTCCACTGCCACCAACCCCAACCACCACCCACCCTCCCTCATCACCGTCAGCCACACCATCAGCTGCCACCACAGACCATCAACAGCCGCCGCCACTCTCAGCCTCACGCGTCTCCCTCCCGCCACGACCACCATCACCACCAGCCACCACCACAAACCCCGCCATCACTGCCAGCCACTGCTGTCAGCGCAGGGCTTCCTCCTGGCTCAGGGCTTACGCAGGAACGACCCGAGGCGGTGCTCAGGGACCGTCTGGGATGCTGCGAATCAAACCCGGCTGCGTGCAGGGCAAACACCCTCCTGCTGTGCAGTCGCTTCAGCCCCTCACATCTCTGAGAAGGTGCCTGGTGAGTGCCCCGGGCCTCACTGCTGCCCTCCGAAAGCTCTGGCTTCTCGGGGGCTGGACGTTGGGCCTCTGCTAGCGCCAAGAGCGCAGACGTGCTCAGAGTGGAGAGGGCGCACCCGCACCTCTCTCTTGCTTCCCCCCGGTCCCAGGAAGAGGTCGACCCTTGAGCGGCGCAGATCGATTGTGTCTGCCGTTCCCCGCAGGCAGGAGGGAGAGTGCTCCCTGACTCAGGCCGTGGTCGCACCGGCACTGGCCGTGGCGTTGACTCACGGCCCTCGCTGCGGAAACTTCCGCGGGACAGACCGTGCCCCGGGGTGGAGGACCGCGCCGGCCGGGCGAGAGGGCAGGTGGCTCGGAGCTGATGTCCTCTCTTCCTTTGCTGGCTGCTCGCTCTTGGTTCGGGGCTCGCTCGGGGCTCGCTCCGGGCACGCTGGGGATGGAGCCAGGCCGCCAGTGCGAGGCCAGCGCCCTCCCTGCTGTGCTGTCTCTCCGGCCCTCCTGTCTCCCTTTGCGTCTCCTTGTGTTTCTGTAGTGATGTGGTATCTCTGGGCGAGACTCGAGTTTGCAGATTCCCTTTAGAGAGAACTAGAGTAGAAACGATCCCCTCCTTCTGGGGCCAGTAGAATTGATTTGTACCTGGGTAAGGCGTTCTTCCTGCTGCATTAAAAAATCGTTTCCTGATCATATATATAAATAGATGTCTTATTCTGGTTGGTTGGTTGGTGGGCCACACCCGGCAGGCTCGTAGTCTGCTTTCAGCTCTGCGCTGGGGGTCCCTCGGCCAGTGGGGTGGGGGTTGGGGCGGGGTGTGTAGGGGTGAGGGTGGGGGTGTGGGTCTTGAGTCTCGTTCAGTGTGTGACTCTCGAGACTGGGAGCGCCGTGGGCTGTGCGTGGGGCCCCTCGGAGGCTGAGGTGAGGAGACACACCTCCAGCCTGGGGTTACCCCGGAGGGTGGGGGCCCCACGCAGGGGTCCCGCAGGGGCCGAGGCAGAGCTGGAAGTGGCCCGAGCTTGTTCCGTGGTTCGCTGGTTGGTGCTGCCGTCCCTGTCAGGTCTGGTCCCTGGAAACGTCCTACTTGGCCTGTCCGGATCTTCTCTCTGGGTTCTGCTGGGGCTGGCACGCGTGCTCCTCTCAGAGTTCCGCGGAGGCGAGGAATCGGCTGTCCATCACCTCATGTGACTGGGAAGGGCTGTGCAGCGTGCGTACCCGAATCAGCCCGTCAGACCAGGACTGGCGCAGCCAAGCCGCAGACACTGTTGCTCGGTGTCCCCATCACTGCTCTGCAGACCCCCTATCTCCAGGAGCGCCTGTGCTTCCGTGGGGGTTCCCCTCAGCGGACTCGCAGCGGACCCTCCCTCAGCGGCCCCCCTCAGGGGACTCAGTGAACTCCTCAGCGGCCCCCCCTCAGTGGGTCCCCCCTCAGCAGACTGTTAGCTCTCTGTGCAAGATCTGGAGTTCTTACTCTCCTCTCTTCCTATGATTGCATCTTTCTGTTGTTGTTTTGGCCACACCTGGCGCCGCTCAGGGGCCATTCCTGGTCCTGCACTAAGGGGTCGCTCACTCCCGAGTGAGCTCAAGGGACTGTACGGGGTGCCGGGGACCAGGTCGGCCACTTGCGAGGCGAGCGCGTTCCATCCTGTACTCTCTCTCCAGCCCCATAGTGCATGTTTGGTCAGGGTTTTCTTGGTTCGGGGGTGTGTGTTTTTTTTAAATAAACTTCTGTTTTCCATCTTCTAAAACTTTCTGGGGATTGAGATTTTTTCCCCTTTGTGTGGGCGCGAAGGAAGTCACCCTGCACCCCTGGGTCTCCAGAGATGGGATGGACAAAGCCGGCAGCAGATGTGTATGTGGGGAGGGCGTCTCTCTCTCTCTCTCTCTCTCTCTCTCTCTCTCTCTCTCTCTCTCATTGTTTTTCGCTTTTTGGGTCACTTCTGGTGATGCTGAAGCGTTACTCCTGGCTCTGCACTCAGGAATTCCTCCTTGGTGCTCGGGGACCCTATGGATGCCAGGGATTGAACCTGGGTTGGCCGTGTGCAAGGCAGACGCCCTACTCTTGCTCCAGCCTCTAGCTGCTTTTTAAAATCAATTTTAGTTCTTGTATATCTCAATGTTTAGAAAGCAGTTGTGAGAGTTTATTTGTGCAGGGGCATAGTCAAACAATTCAGACCTTTTCTCTTTGAGATCTGGAGATACTCAGAGCTAGACTGAGCACATACTTCTTTCTAACGGGCATCTGAGGGGCATCTCGCAGGGAAAACTGCACTTTGTCCGCACGGTGCAAATGTGTCATTGGTTTTTCCCTGAGGAGGTTTCTGCTGATCAGGGGCTTTGGGCAGAGGGGGCTGCCTGCCGGGACACCAGCTTATATCCCCGCTTTCCAAGGAGACCTTTGTCCTGGCCACGGCCCCTCCCTAGAAACCCCCCTTTGCTGGAGACCAAGTGAGCTTGGGGTGCAGCCGCTCTCTCCTGCCATGGAGAACCTTACGGAAACTGCTGTTCCTGCTGGGTTCTGTGGCCACGTGGGTCCCACAGGATTCCACAGGCTCCCACGGAGGCTCCCACGGAGGCTCCCACAGGCTCCCACGGGCTCCTCCAGGCTCCCACGGGCTCCCACAGGCTTCCACAGGCTCCTCCAGGCTCCCACGGGCTCCCACAGGCTTCCACAGGCTCCTTCAGGCTCTCACAGGCTCTCACAGGCTCCCACAGGCTCCCACAGACTCCCACAGGCTCCCACAGGCTCCCACAGGCTTCCACAGGCTCTCACAGGCTCTCACAGGCTCCCACAGGCTCCCACAGGCTTCCACAGGCTCCTTCAGGCTCTCACAGGCTCCCACAGGCTCCCACAGACTCCCACAGGCTCCCACAGGCTCCCACAGGCTCTCACAGGCTCCCACAGGCTCCTCCAGGCTCCCACAGGCTCCCACGGGCTCCTCCAGGCTCTCACAGGCTCCCACAGGCTCCTCCAGGCTCCCACAGGCTCCTCCAGGCTCCCACAGGCTCCCACGGGCTCCTCCAGGCTCCCACAGGCTCCTCCAGGCTCCCACAGGCTCCTCCAGGCTCTCGCAGGCTCCCACAGGCTCCTCCAGGCTCTCGCAGGCTCCCACAGGCTCCCACAAGGGTCTATAAGGGTCTCATGGGGATCCCACAGGGGCTCCATAGGTCCCACGTGGGACTCACGTAGGGTCACAGGGCCAACATGGGGCTCCCACAGGGGTGCCACAGGCTGCCACAGACCCCCACAGGGCTTCGTGGGGATCCCACGTGGGGCTCTGAGGGTCCCATAGCGTCCCACGGGGGCCTTGCTTGTCACATGCCTGGAGCCACACGGCAGGTGCGAGCGCGGTCCCGGCTGGGCTCCAAGGGGGAGACGTGCACGACTGCACCCAGCCCGCACTGACCGCCCTTCACGCCTGTCTGTGCAGAGGAGATGGAGGAGGAGTCGGAGACGGTGGTCGAGGCCGACCTGACAGAGAAGCAGAAGCATCAGCTGAGGCACCGGGAGCTCTTCCTGTCGCGCCAGTACGAGTCTCTGCCTGCCACACACATCAGGTAGGGACGAGGGTCCGTGTGGCCCCCCACTCCTGCACATGGGTCTTTGTGGGGTCCCAACGCCCCACCCGCAGGGATCGGCACTTCCCAGGCCGGGGGGTGCCGAGGCGCAGGGCCGGCTCTGGGCTGTGTCCTGCCCCTCCGCCGTGTGCCCTGCTGGGCAGAGGCTCGAGCCCTTCCTTGGTGGCACCTTGGTGTCAGCGGGGCTGCCGCCTCCAAGGCTGGGCAGGAGGGGGTGGGGAGGCCGGGAGCACTGCCCCGTGGAGACGGTCCTTCAGCTTTCACTCCAGGTCTCGGCTTAGTCCTGTCCATCTTACACGGTTCACGCAAGTAAGGAAGACTTGCGTGAAGGAAGGTCAGCTCTGCCCGTGTGCCCTGGTCCAGCACCCGCTTTCCTGGCCAGTGCAGCTGGGACCGGAAGAAGCCTGGCGGCTGCCCTTCAGCCTGGGCTCTGGGCGGCGGGGCACAGGCGGCTGCTGCTCTCACCCTGTGCTGATCAGTCCCCGGGAGGCTTGGGGGTGTTGGGGGGGGCAGCTGGCCCAGATGTGAGCCGGGTTGAGCTGCCCACACAGCAGCTGCAGCCACCGTGACTCAAGACCCCAAGTGCATTGGTCAATGCAGGCCCCCCAGGTGCCGTGACACAGGACCCCAGGCGCTGCGATGTGGGACCAATCATGAAATTGGTCTCCTGTTGTTTGCTTGCTTCAGGGCCTCCTGGGATGCTCAGAGACTGCTCCTCGCTCTGTGCTCAGGTGCCCGTGTGGTGCCAGGGGGAGATCTGGTGCCCACGCAGAGCCACTTGCGCTGTCTTCCCGACTCCAAAGTTAAATGAAAACCGTTCCGTTGAAAAATCTTCACCTATCCCTGGCTTTCTGTTACGTTTGTTGTGGTGGGTTTTCACAGCTGGTGGCGGGGCTCACTGGGGGGCACCCTTGGGTGGGGGTGCTCACAGATCCCAGAGTTTGCAGTGGTTCCGGTGGTGCTCGCAGGTCCCAGTTTGTGGGGTTGCGGGCACTCTCGTCGCAGAGCTGGGGGTCTCAGTTGGCGTGTTGGCTGCGCTGGGCCCTAAACTCAGCCTGCACCTGCAGGCGGGCACTCTTCGCCTCTGCCCAGGCCCTCAGCTGGGCTCTACTGGACGCGCCGGTTCCTGGTTCTCTGCCTGTGGCGGTGGGGCTGCCCTGCCACCTGGGCACATTCAGGTTGACACCCGACTTGCTCAGTGTCGTCAGCAGGCCTGAGGTCCCGGGCCCCAGAGCTCAGTGTTTCGGGCTGGGATCTCAGTGATGTGGCTGTGGGGTGCTGATGGTGCTTGCACCCTGCCTCCCGGTGTCCCCTGTTCTGGGTGCTGATTCTGCATCGTCCCTCCAGAGGGTGGACAGGCTTGGTCAGGGCCCAGACGGAGCCTCCTGGATTTCTCCTTGGCTGCCTTTGAGCTGCCTTGGCTGCCTCCTGGATTTCTCCTTTGCTCCTTGGCGTATGTGTGGGCTCTGGGCTCGCAGGTGATGGAACCAAGGGCGCTGGGGCACAGTACGGGTTCCCACTGCTGTGCCCACAGAGACCTGCCGAGCTCTTGCCCACGCCCAGGGATGGAGGAGCAAGGCACAGGGGATGGGGTTGGCCCAGAGGGTTCTCCAGCATGCGTTATGCCCAGACGGGCCCAGCGGACAGGTCTGTGGCCACCCCTGGGGAGGCGCAGAGTCAGCCTGCCACTGTTCCAGGTGGGCCAGCCCAGCCTGGCCATGGGCATCACGGTGATGGACGCCCCTTGTTGCACTAGCCCCTGCCTCCTCCTTTGGCATCTTGACCCAACAGCCTTCAGGGACTGTGTGGCATGTAGGAGCCCAGGAAGCGGTTCAGGCTCCGCCTGTCCTGGCTGCCCCGCCCCCGCCCCGCCCCCAGGGGCACCTCGTCCCGCTCCGCCCGGGACGCCCCGCCCACTCCCCGCCCCTCACGGAAGGCCCCGCCCAGAAGGCCCCGCCTCTCCCGGCCGCCCCGCCCACGCCACGCCCCTCCCGAGCGCCCTGTCCTTCCCAGCATGCCTTGCCCACGCCCTGCTTCTGGCCGCTCCGTCCCGATCGCCCGGCCCCGGGCGCCCCGCCCCTTGCCCCGCCCCCAGGCAACTCGCCCCGCCCCTTGCCCCGCCCCAGGCAACTCGCCCCGCCCCCTCGCCCCTCGCCCCGCCCCGCTGCTCCAGGTGGTCGGTGGAGCCCCTCGCGCCCTCACGCCCGCTCTCCTGCAGGGGGAAGTGCAGCGTGGCGCTCCTCAACGAGACGGAGTCGGTGCTCACCTACCTGGACAAAGAGGTACCGCGCCCCCCGGGGCGCCACTGAGGGTTAGGGCGCCTGCCCGGGTCGGGAGCCCGCCCCTCCTGCGGCCCTCCGGGGAACTGGCCGGCCGGAGCACCCGGGTCCCACCCAGCGTCGCACGTGAGCCCCGAGCACCGAGCCGGGAGTCAGCCCCGAGCACAGAGCCGGGAGTCAGCCCCGAGCACAGAGCAGGAGTGAGCCCTGAGCACAGAGCCGGGAGTCAGCCCCAAGCACAGAGCCGGGAGTGAACCCCGAGCACAGAGCCAGGAGTGATCCCTGAGCACAGATCCGGGAGTCAGCACTGAGCCGGGAGTCATCCCCAAGCACAGGGCCAGGAGTCAGCCCCGAGCACAGAGCCAGAAGTGAGCCCCGAGCACCGAGCTGGGAGTGAGCCCTGAGCACAGAGCCAGGAGTCAGCCCTGAGCACAGAGCAGAAGTCAGCCCTGAGCACAGCCAGAAGTGAGCCCCGAGCACCGAGCTGGGAGTCAGTCCCGAGCACAGAGCCGGGAGTCAGCCCTAAGCACAGAGCTGGGAGTGAACCCCGAGCACTGAGCCAGGAGTCATCCCCAAGCACAGGGCCAGGAGTCAGCCCCAGGCACAGAGCCGGGAGTCAGCCCCGAGCACAGAGCCGGGAGTGAGCCCCAAGCACAGAGCCAGGAGTCAGCCCCGAGCACAGAGCAGGAGTGAGCCCCGAGCACAGAGCTGGGAGTGAGCCCCAAGCACAGAGCTGAGAGTCAGCCCTGAGCACAGAGCTGGGAGTCAGCCCTGAGCACAGAGCCAGGAGTCAGCCCTGAGCACAGAGCCAGGAGTGAGCCCTGAGCACAGAGCCCATTGTCAGCCCCGAGCACAGAGCCGGGAGTCAACCCCGAGCACAGAGCCGGGAGTCAGCCCCGAGCACAGAGCCGGGAGTCAGCCCCGAGCACAGAGCCAGGAGTCAGCCCCGAGCACAGAGCCAGAAGTGAGCCCTGAGCACCGAGCCGGGAGTGAGCCCTGAGCACAGAGCCGGGAGTCAGCCCTGAGCACAGAGCAGGAGTCAGCCCTGAGCACAGCCAGAAGTGAGCCCCGAGCACCGAGCTGGGAGTCAGCCCCGAGCACAGAGCCGGGAGTCAGCCCTAAGCACAGAGCTGGGAGTGAACCCCGAGCACTGAGCCAGGAGTCATCCCCAAGCACAGGGCCAGGAGTCAGCCCCAGGCACAGAGCCGGGAGTCAGCCCCGAGCACAGAGCCGGGAGTGAGCCCCAAGCACAGAGCCAGGAGTCAGCCCCGAGCACAGAGCAGGAGTGAGCCCCAAGCACAGAGCCAGGAGTCAGCCCCGAGCACAGAGCAGGAGTGAGCCCCGAGCACAGAGCCGGGAGTGAGCCCTGAGCACAGATCCTGGAGTCAGCCCCAAGCACAGAGCCGGGAGTGAGCCCCAAGCACAGAGCCGGGAGTCAGCCCTGAGCACAGAGCTGGGAGTCAGCTCCTAGCAGAGCCGGGAGTCAGCCCCGAGCACAGAGCTGGGAGTGATCCCTGAGCACAGAGCCGGGAGTCAGCCCTGAGCACAGAGCCAGGAGTGATCCCTGAGCACAGAGCCCATTGTCAGCCCCAAGCACAGAGCTGGGAGTGAGCCCTGAGCACAGAGCCGAGAATGAGCCCTGAGCACAGAGCCGAGAGTCAGCCCCAAGCACAGAGCTGGGAGTGATCCCTGAGCACAGAGCCGGGAGTCAGCCCTGAGCACAGAGCCGGGAGTCAGCCCTGAGCACAGAGCCGAGAGTCAGCCCCAAGCACAGAGCTGGGAGTGAGCCCTGAGCACTGAGCTGGGAGTCAGCCCCAAGCACAGAGTCAGGAGTCAGCCCCAAGCACCGCCAAGTGCGGTCTCCCAGCTGTCCCCTCCCAGATGGGACCAATTTCCGCGGTCAGGCGAGGCAGCATTTCAGTGCCGGGCAGAAACAGCTCCGCGCTGAGTGGCGGTGGGCGTGGCGGGACGGACAGTCACACTCCCGGCCCCGCTGTCCCGGATGTGGGTGTCGGCCCCCACCACAGCCCCCGGCACGCGCGCGCCTCAGCCTCTCTCCCCAGGACGCCTTCTTCTACTCGCTGGTGTACGACCCTTCGGTGAAGACCCTGCTGGCCGACAAAGGGGAGGTGCGCGTGGGGCCGCGCTACCAGGCCGACATCCCGGAGATGCTGTCAGAAGGTGGGCAGCCCCGACAGTCCGCCCGCCGGGCCCCGCTGGGCAGTCGGAGCCTCGGTCTCCTGCAGGCTGGGTTTCCCTGGGGACGCAGGGCCCGAGTTGTTGCTGGGCCGGAGCCCTTCACCTCTGTGTCAGGAGTCATACTCGGACCTTCCAGAGCCTCCTCTGGGGTGGAGGAGGCGGGTGCGAGGCGCCTGGCCAGCACCCGGCCGACCCGATTCCTTCCCCGGGGCCGCCCCCGAGTGCTGTCTGGGTCACTCCCGGGCACCGCCTGATGTGGCCCCCAGGGCAGGCTCAGGGGGCAGCCTCCGTGTCCGTGAGCGGGAGGTGCAAGTCCCAGCCCGAGCTCCCACATCTCTGTGGTCCCGGGGCAGTGCCCGTCAGGGACCCCGAGTCACCCCGAGGACCGCCGTGCGTGAATCGGGAGCACGACAGCCGAAGGGCGGGAGTCCAGAGACTCCTGAGTGAGCCCGACGAGCTCCACAGGTGGGGGCGAGGCAGCCCCGGGGTCCCCGCTGCAGTAGCACGGGGGGGAGGAGAGGCGGACCCCTCAGCGCCCGGTGGGGACACAGGCCCTCCCCTCCTCTCCCTTCCCAGCGTGTGGTGGGTGGGTGCAGGGTCCCGGCTGCTCTCTCCGGTACCTTCTGTCCACTCCCTGCGGCTCTTCCTGCGGGAAGCAACAACGTGGCAGCCTGGGGACGTCCGGTCCCCGCCTTCCAGCCCCCTCCATCCGCTCTCTCCTGTCCCTCCCTGTCCCCTCCGCCCGTCCCCTCGGTCCTGTGCAGCTCGCACAGAGCCCGTCTGCACGTCTGGGGTCCTCGTCCGTTGGGTCACGCCGTCGGGGGTCCATGTGTGTGGGACAGACACGCCGCCTGGGGCCGTGTCCATGTGGGCTCCTCCTCCCATGGTCGCTGGGCTGTCCCGAGCCGTGACCCCTCCTGCTCAGTGCGCCCTCCCATCCACTCCCGGGGGCGCGCACTGCGGGTTGCTGCTGTCCCTCCCGCTTCTCGCTGGACAGTGCCCGGACGGTCCCCAGCAGGTCCGAGCGTGTTCCTCACCAGTGTGCCCTTCCCCCAAGACCCCCATCCCCGGGGTCGTGCTGTGACCAGGCATGTCCCGTGTCCCCAGGAGAGTCAGACGAGAGGGAGCAGTCCAAGCTGGAGGTGAAGGTGTGGGACCCCAACAGTCCACTCACTGACCGGCAGATCGACCAGTTCCTCGTGGTGGCCCGGTGAGCGCGAGGGATGGACGGGCGGGGGTCTCGGGGAGGCTCCGCTTGTCGGTGTAGACAGAGGCGCTGTGGAGCCCAGCACGTCAGGCGGAGACGGACGGGGGTCTGGGTGCGACGGGTCACTGAGGAGCTGGCTGTGTCTTGGTGTCTCTTCCCGAGTCTGCACGGTCCCCAGGGTACGCGCCCTGCGGCCCTGACAGGCCCGTCCCCTCCCTCCCGCAGTGCCGTGGGCACCTTCGCCCGCGCCCTGGACTGCAGCAGCTCCGTGCGCCAGCCCAGCCTGCACATGAGCGCCGCCGCCGCGTCCCGGGACATCACGCTGGTAAGACCACTGGCCCGGAGCCTCGCGCCCTGCCACTGCGGCCGGACGCTGACAGAGCCCAGCCCGGTCTGTGTGGGTCTCACAGGGGCGGCCTGGTGTTGTGTCTAAGTGAGCTGGTCATGGGTGGTCGCGGGCATCTGGGACTCCGATGCTGCGCCCTGACCATCCGCCCCCTGTGAGGACATCTCTGCTGGTCCCCAGTGTGTCTCTGTGCCCTCCATGCTCTGAGTGACCCCCGCCCCGGCCTCTGCTGGGCCAGAGCTCAGGGCTGATGCCTGCCCTGGCCACTCGCTGACCACTGTCCCCATTCCTGCCCTGCAGGGGCTTCTCTGCCGGGACATGGTGGAGCAGGGTTTAGGGCACTCATGTCATCTGCTTCCGCGGGAAGGGACCCCGCCTCAGCCCCGTGCTGCCTCCCTGTCCCGTGTGTCGTGCCTTTTCATGAGAGCACATGATCTGCCCGCTGCGTGCATACCCGAGAGCCGGCCCCCGAGCCTGCCTCCTCTGGCCTCTCCCAGGAGCGCCTCATGGGGGGCCCGTCCCTCCACGGTGCTCTGCCCTGGGGCCACGTGGTCAGGCCACGGGCTCGGTCGTCCCGGGAGGAGGCATGTGCTAGAGTCTGCGTGTGTCACCGGCACCTTTACCTGTCTGCACACGTAAGGTTGAGTCAGGATGTTTCCAAGCCTCTGTGCCTGTGTTTTGTCTGTTGGGGGCCACACCCAGCAGTGCTCAGGGCTGACTCCTGGCTCTGCACTCAGGGATCACTCCTGGCGGCTCTCGCTCGGGGGACCGAATGGGGTGATGGGATTGAACCCAGTTTGACCGAGTGTAAATCAAGCGCCCTGCCGACTTAGTGCTCCAGCCAGTGTGTCTGCATTTTTAAGGTTGTATTTTTTGATTTTTCACTGTATAAAACATCAGGTAGTAGTTGTGGGAACTGGATAGTACAGCAGGATGGGTGCTGGCCTTATACACAGCTGACCGGGTTCGATCCTGGTACCCCGCATGGTCCACTGAGCACTGCCAGGAGTGAGCCCCGAGCACTGCTGGATATGGCCCCAGGGTAACAACAAAAGTGGGGATTTGTGACTGGATTTGAGCTTCGGGGAACATGGAAACTGTCACGTCTTCACTTGAGGTAAACGGGGTTTGGCTTCACCCATGTAAGATAGCGAAGCCCTTGGGGGGTCATGATTTTTAGAACGTCTTTCCTTGGCCTTTGGGATGATACTGAAGTCCGTCAGAGTCTTCATCTTCCCTGGACAGTAGGGGGTCCTGTCACTGCTGAGGACTGGAGGCAGTTTCCTCAAGGACCAGAAGGTTCTGCTCAGCTGGTCCCCGGAAGTGTCCTTCAGTGCCCGCCTGGCCCCTCCTCCTTCCAGCATGCTCTCAGGGCGAGCTGGGCCCTGGTGGGCCTGCAGGCCGGACCGTGGCTGGACCGTCCGTCCGCCCATGCCGGGCAGCTCTCGCAGTAGCCGGCGAAGCTGCGACCCTGCCCACCTCGGGGCTTTCTGCCGTGGAGGGTTTGTCCCCCGGCCTGCCATGCTCGGTGGCTGCTCCCTGCTCTGTGCTTGGGGTCACTCCCAGCAGTGCAGTTTTGTGGCCCGAGGAGGGGCGGCCCGGGCTGGTTCCCTTCCTTGTGTGGCTGTTCTCCGTAGCTGGCTCTTCGCTCTTCTCTCCGTCTGCTCTTCGCTGTGCTGTCCCCGTGTTGCCGTCTCAGGACTAGTCTTCGGCCCTTTCCTCCTGACGATATTTGAGGGCTGACGGTCCTCCGTCTTCATCACCGTGGCTGGATCTCGGAGTTCGCCACGTAGGCCTTCGTTTTCGTTCTGTTCTGACTCTTTCCTATTTGGCCTCGTGATTCGGCGGCCTCCAAACAGGAGGTCCGTGTGAGCCCCCGCTACTGTGGGGGCGTGGGCACAGACTCTCCCGCGACCCTCTGGCCTGGGCCTGGACGGGGCCTCCCAGTCCTCTGTCCCGGGTCTTGCGAGCTTGCCCCGGAGTGCTCGGGCCTCAGCCCTGCTGTTCCAGCCGGTGTCCAGGCGTGGGGCTGCCCCTCGCCCCGTCCTGCAGAGCCAGGGCACAAGCTCCGCGCCCCTCCCCCGCGTCCTTTTCCAGGGCCTGTAAGAGAAGCGTTTGCCTCATCCATCCGTTAGGGCACCGCGAGGTGGGTGTGCTACCGGCCGAGAAAAACTCATTTCCTTCCCCGACTCGTCTTCAGAGCACCTGTTAATCATCAGAATGACTCTGCATCCAGGGCGCTCAGCCTCAGGTGCTCCGTGTAATTACGAACCTTGAGCACCGCTGGGTCTCGGCTGGGCCTGGCTTCTGGGGCTGGGTGAGAGGTGGTAATCAGGCTGGAGCCGGCGTCCTCCCCCGCCCCTCCGTCCTGCGCCTCTTCTGGAGCAAGTTGTCCGCATGCCGCTCGGAGGCGGTGCAGCCCAGCAGCACTGCTGGTCGGGGCCGGGTCACTGCTGTGACTGTGCGCTGGCCCCCACCGGGCAGGGCCAGTTGGTGACTGTGGCACGGCCCCACCTGTACCTGTTTCGGGGCCACACCCTGTGGTGCTCCGGGGTCCCTCCTCCTCTGCTCCATACACATGGGGGTTGAACTGGGGCTTCCTGCACCAACGCATGCTCAGAGCCCGTGGAGGGGCCTCTGCGTGGGAAGACCCCCAGGCAAAGTGCAAGATTCCAGTCCCCCGTGGTGGGAAGTTGAGGTAAAGTCGTTCTCAGGGCCACTCGGTCCCTCTCGCTGCCCAGGGGCTGCAGTGAGGGTGTAGCTGGCCTGAGAGTCCAGCTGGGCCCCGAGGCCGCCACTCTCCCTGCCCGCCCCCCGGGCCAGGAAGCCCTCACAGGCCCCACGGGCCTCTGTCCACTCCCTCTGGCAGCCAGGGCCTGGGTCTCAGGCACAGCCGGGGCCTCGCGGCTGGCGGCCTCTGCGGCGTGGCGCATGGTCCTGCTGTCAGCTGCGTCTCTTGGGTCCGTGTTCCTGCCCGCCTGCTCCTCCCCGAGACACCTTGCTGCCCCCCAAACACACACACTGGGCCTCTGCTTTCTGGTCTGCTGTCACCAGCAGGGGCTGGTCTTTGTGCTCAGGTGCTGGCCACATTCACAGACACGCACCTGCAAAGGTCCACGTGCAAGTTTGCACTTGCTTCTGCCTTTTCCTTGCTTTCTCTCCCTTCCCCCCCTCCCTCCCTCCCTCACTCACCCTCCTTCCCTGCCTCCCTTTCCTTTCCTCCTCCCTTTGCTTTTGGACCACCCCACCTGTGCTCAGGGCTGACTCCCGGCTGCACTCAGGGATGGCTCCGGTGGTACTTGGGGGACCATCAGGGATGCCGGGGTCAGGCAGCCGACAAGTGCAAGGCAGCGTGCTCCCCACTGTCCTGTTGCTCCTCCCCACTGTGATTCCTAACAGCAACAAACGCTACTTGGAGCGTGGAGGGCGTTGCCCACCGTGGCTTCGCGGTGTGGTACTTCAGGGAGGACACGGTGGTAGGCACGGCGGGTCTCTGCCGCCTCCCGTCAGCTCTGCCCGCGTGTCCCCGCAGTTCCACGCCATGGACACCCTGTACCGGCACGGCTGTGACCTCAGCAGCGCCATCAGCGTCCTGGTTCCCCTGGGAGGCCCCGTGCTGTGCCGAGACGAGATGGAGGAGTGGTCGGCCTCGGAAGCCAGCCTGTTCGAGGAGGCACTAGAGAAGTACGGGAAGGACTTCAACGACATTCGCCAGGACTTTGTGAGTGGATGGAGCCCGCTGCCCTGAGCAGAGCCCGGGACGGCAGTGCCTGGGCGCCACCACGGATGGGGCCCCGCAGCAGGGTCCCGGGGTCCAGGGAGGTGACGTGACGTCTACCCGTTGCGTGAGCCTCCACGGGCGTCACAGCCTGTCGCCTTCCCCGGCTTGTCGTGGGCCCATTCCCAGAACGTGTCCTGGTCCTGCTGTCTGAAACCGGTGTGGGTGTCTGTCGTGCTGCCGTCACCGGCGTCCTCGGGTCCCACGTCTGTGTGCGGTCTGGCCTCACCCTTGCACCCAGGCAGCGCCCAGGCTCGAACTCGGCTCTGAGTCTCCACGCTCCGAGGCGCTGCCGGGGTCTCCTCTCTCCCTCCGTCCAGCCGGGCTCTGTCCGCTGGGAAGGGGCGGGCGCACGCCCTGTTGCCGCCTCTCTCCTGGCCGCGGCTCCGCTCCCATCCGCTCCCACGTGTGCTCCCACTGCGGCTCTTTCTTCTTCGCTCTCTGTCTCCCTAAGTGACGGGTGATTTTCTGGGTCCGCGTTGATGTTCCGATCGTTGTTTCACTGGACCTGCCCCTCCCTTTAGCTCTCTTGTGAGACGGTGTCTCGCACATGGCTCTCCGGCTTGTTTGCTTCTCATCCACGATCTTCTGTTACGTGCTTCTCCGGGTGCCCCCGTGCCTGGGCCTCGCAGGAAGGAGAGGCTGTGAGCCTCCACTTGTGAGCCGGGGGCACTCTGTGGAATTGGGGTGCTGGCCCCCAGGTGGGTCTGCCCCGTGCAGGGCTGGCTCTGGCTGTGTTCCGGGTGGTGGGCATGTGGGGAGGAACAAGGCGCCGAGACCCCGATTCTTCCTTCCAGGACTCTGGCCAGGGCCCCCGGGCGTGTATGGCTCTGGACACACTGGGTATGGGTGGGGTTGTGTCCAGCCGTGCGGCTGACCGCGTGTGCCCACACAGGTGGGGGCTGGGGGCTGTGGGGACGGGCACCTGTGGTGCAGGGGTGAGGTGGGGAGAGGGTCCACGGTATGTGGGCAGGGCTTGGAGAGGTGTCCACGTTGTATGGACCAGACTGGAGAAAGTGTCCAGAGTCTGTAGACCGGGCCGGGGCAGGTGTGCACAGTATGTGGCCAGGCTGGGGAAGGTGTCCACAGTGTCTGGGATGGGGTTGGTGTCCATGTTGTGTGGGCCGGGCCGGGGAGGTGTCCAGTGTGCGGGGCCAGGCCGGCTGAGGTGTCCCCAGCATGCAGAGCCGGGCTGGGGTGTTTGAGGTGCGTCCGGGCAGTGCAGTTGGGCTCTGGCCCACACCTTCTGGCAGGGCTCGGTGGACACATCGCTGGTGTCCTCTGCTCTCTCCCAGCTTCCCTGGAAGTCGCTGACGAGCATCATCGAGTACTACTACATGTGGAAGACCACGGACAGATACGTGCAGCAGGTAGGCCCGGGCTCCGGGTGCCGTGGGCCCACGGGCCAGCAAGGTTCCTGTCTTGAGACCCACCGCAGGGCTGCAGAGCTGCGCAGGGGGAAGCCAGGACAGAGCCCCGCGCATTGGCAGGGGCCCGGGTGGTCCGGGGGCTCGCCCCGTTGCCCAGGAATTTCCTGGAGGGGCCCCACGCCCTGTGAGACCCACTTGGGAGGACCCCTCTTCCCGGCCCTCCTTCCCACATACATACACAGAGCCCGGGGTTCTCAGCTTCCTTCCAGCTCTGCACAGGGGCTCCCTGGGGCTCCGGGAGGCAGGGCAAGGGCCACAGCTCTCTGAGCCCCCAAGAGTCTGACCTTGCCGGTGGGGAGCAGGGAGGGGCCCTGGCGGCCAGAGCGTCAGTCTCACCGGTACCTGAGTAGACCAGGGCCAGCAGCCTGTGCTGCGGGGAGCGGATTGGGCCAGGCGTGTGCTCTGCACACAGGCCTGCTTCGGCCCTCCTTAGCACTGCCGGCACCTTCGGTCAAACTGGACCGAACCGCCCCGTGGCAGCCTGGCGAGGGTTTCCCTCAAGGTCCTAACTCTTCTCCCACCCATCTCTGAGCGACCTTCCAGGAAGGAGACGGGGGCTTCGGTCAGGCGGGGCCTGTGTCCTGTTCACACACACGCACACGCACCTGTACCATGCGCTCATGCCCACGTAGATGTATACACACGCGCACACACGTACTCATGCACACACAGACACATGCATACGCATGCACACGTGATATACACATATGCATGCACACGTGATGCACACGGATGTGTGCACAAACACAGTCATTTACACACGATGCACGCACATGCACACACTCATGCGCACACACAGTGCACACGTGCACACACTCATGCGCACACACAGTGCACACGTGCACACATACTCCTGCACACAAGCGTACAGACACATGCGCGCGCACACATGCCCACACATCTACCAGGGTCTGCGCAGAACGAGCTTGCAAGTGCTAAGGGGTCTTGGCCTGTGAAAAGGGCCAGTGTCCCACAGCGGGGCACGATGGTGACTCACGGTGACCCACAGGTCACAAAGGTCACAAAGCTGCCCCAGGCAGGCCTGAGGTCAGAGGGAGGGACAGTCAGGGCAAAATTGGGTCGGGACAATCAGCCTGAGGTCAGGGGTCTGCACAGTCTCCTGAGGTCAGGCCTGAGGTTGGGGGTCTGCACAGTCCCCTGAGGTCGGGGGCTGGGACACTTGTCAGCTCTGGGCTTCCTGCCCCCTCCCCAGGGCTCCTTGCTGGCTGTCAGTGCCCCCACCGCCCGTGCGTGTCCCTCCAACCTCCAACCGCGTGGCCACTCACTCGCACTCAGCCCTCACTAGCCCCTGAGTGGACCCGGGACTCAGTGCCTGGGCGTCTGTCCCGAGCCAACACCGTGTTCTCTCCAGAGGTCAAGGGAGCCGGCTCACGGCCGGGGCGCCCCACCCCGTAGCTGCAGCCGGACCGTGTGGCTTCCGTGGCAGCTCCTCGTTCCCCTCACGCTGAGGGAGCCTGTGTGGTGCCGCCCCCCCCCCGCCGTGCTGCCCCTCGGTCCCTTCCTGGGCCTTGCCTGTGACCGTCCTTCTCTGTCTCTCGAATCAGAAGCGCTTGAAAGCAGCCGAAGCCGAGAGCAAACTGAAGCAGGTGTACATCCCGACCTAGTAAGTGACGCTGCGGCCTCAGCTGTCGCCGTGGGCACGGTGCTGGCACACGGCGGCCCTCCGCGGGGGGGGGGGGGGGGGGGTGGCCTGGGAGGCGCCTCTGTTTGTTCCGGGAAGCCCACGGGGAGGGGGGCGAAATGACTGTTCTAGAGAGGGTGGAGCTGCCGCCCGCAGCCACCGAGCGTCTGGGCTGGCGGCTGAGGGCACTGCCCCGGAGGGGCCGCTGTGCCCGCCAGGGCGTCCCGCTCCAGGGGCCGGGCCGGGTCCGAGCCGCCAGGGCGTGGGAGGGCTCTCGGGCCTCGCCAGAGCTGGGCACAGGCCCGAGTACTGGGTGGCCGAGACTTCTCAGGCCAGCCACAGCCGGACAGAGGCTGAGGCCAGGCCGGCCGGGGAGCAGGTCTGTGCCCTCCTTGCGCGGGGGCCACACTCGTCCCCCAGGACTGGGAGCAGAAGGAGCCGGGGCAGGCGACTTCAGCCACGGGCCTGAGAGGGGGCATGGCTGACGCCTCAGGCCGAGCAAGACAGCAGGGACGGGTCCGGGGGTGCCCCGGTCATGAGTGTGGGAGCCGCCGGGAACCCCGTGTGTCCTCACGCCCCTCCTGCTGAAGTCTCGATGCTGGGGAGAGTGAGCAGGAGAGGACAGTGCAGCTCCTGGGGCCCGAGGGCCTGGGGGAGGCCGGGTGAGGTCACAGGGGCCCAGAGGGGCCAGGTGAGGTCAGAGCGGCCCGGGAGGGCCAGGTGAGGTCACAGGGACCCGGGAGGGCCGGGTGAGGTCACAAGGGCCCAGGAGGGCCGGGTGAGGTCAGAGGGGCCCAGGAGGGCCAGGTGAGGTCACAGGGACGTGGGGGGGCCAGGTGAGGTCACAGGGGTCGAGGGGGCCAGGTAAGGTCACAGGGACCCGTGGGGGGGACAGGTGAGGTCACAGGGGCCCGGAGGAGCCGGGTGAGGTCATGGAGGGGTGAGGTCACAGGGGCCCAGAGGGGCCAGGTGAGGTCAGAGCGGCCCGGGAGGGCCAGGTGAGGTCACAGGGACCTGGGAGGGCTGGGTGAGGTCACAGGGGCCTGGGGGGACCAGGAGAGGTCACAGGGGCCCTGAGGAGCCGGGAGAGGTCAGGGATTGTCCAGTACTGTGCTACTGCCGGGGACCAGGTGAGATCACTGGGGTTGGGCCCACAGGAGGCGAGAGCTGCTTGGGGTGCTCAGCTGAGGGCGTGGAAGTTCTGCCCACCCGCAGCCCGGGCACGTCGGCAGGGGCAGAGCCAAGGGATGGTGACCCCAGAGCGCGGCAGCGCTGGTGGCCGTGTTCTGGCTGTCGTTGAGACTGGAGGCCGGGGCATGCCCTGGCGCAGGGTCTGCTCTGTTGCCTCCTCATGCCCCTGGTGGGCCCGGAGTCGGGGGCTTCTCCGCGCCCTCCCTCCCCCCCGTTGCATCACTGTGTGTCTCGTTGAAAGCAGCAAACCGAACCCGAACCAGATCCCCAGCAGCAACAGCAAAGCCAGTGCCCTCAACGGCACCACGGGCACCGCGTGCCAGCCCCAGAGCCCGCTGCCCGGCCGGGCGTGTGAGAGCTGCTTCGGTGCGTCCTGGGCCCGGGGGGGGGGTGGCCGGTGCTTGCAGGGTCACCTGCAGCTGGGAGCACGCGCGGGCTGGGGTCCACCCGGGGCCCGTCCCGGGGGTCAGAGTGGACAGACCAGCCCGCGCCCTGCCCCACAGCCACACAGTCTCCGCAGTGGTACTCGTGGGGCCCGCCCAGCATGCAGTGCCGCCTGTGTGCCGCCTGCTGGCTCTACTGGAAGAAGTACGGGGGCCTGAAGATGCCCACCCGCAGTGACGAGGACAAGTTCTCCACCAGCCCCGCAGAGGTATGCAGGCGCCCGGCCCACGCTCTTGGGCCAAGGCGCTGGCCGATTTTCAGTTGGGTTTTAGGTGATTGAGGATGGTAGTGGGTCATGATGGCGCCCCCCGGCACCGAGGGCCCCCAGGCTGGGGTTGGGGTCACTCAGTGCCTGCTCTGGCCAGCCACATGCTGCCCCTAAAGCCAGGCGGAGCCGTAGAGCCAGAGGGACACAGGGGGTGTCCGGAGCGTGGGGTCGTGCAGATTGCCACTCCCTTCCCTCCCCTCCCCTAACCGTGGGCTGCTGGGACATGACCGAGCACCGTTCAGGACAGACTGAAAGGCCAAGTACGGGCGCCCCAGAAGTGAGGGGACCCCCACTTGTGTGTCCCGTGGAGGGGCTGACACCTCCCATCCTTCCTGTCCCCGCGGGTCGGGTGGTGCCGTGTCCCGTCCCCGCGTGGGTCTCACTGCCCCGCCTGGCCCCGCAGGACCCCCGTGCCCGAGGCCACCTGTCCCGCCAGGCCACGCAGGGGATGCCGGTGCGGAACACGGGGAGCCCCATGTCTGCCGTGAAGACGCGCCCCGCCTTCTTCCTGCACACCACCTACTTCACCAAACTGGCGCGGCGAGTGTGTGGGAGCTCCCTGGGGCTGCGGCGCGCGGCGCGGAGGCCCTTCGTGCCCATCGACTCGGCCGCCGTGCGCGCGGAGTGTAAGCCGCTTCTCTCTTCCTAGCCCACCCACCGCCCCCACCCAATAAACACGAGCTCTGTGTGTACAGCCTTTCATTTGGGTTTTGGTTTCTTTGTGTTTCTGTTGTTGCTTTTCTTTCACCATCATCTGTCTCGTGCTGCCATTGTCTCATGCCACCCTGGGGAGGGCCCCGGGAGAGGTGCTGGGCGGGGGTGGGGTGCCTGCAGCGCTCTGGGCCGGGACCCCCCTGGAGGAGCTGGCGGGACCCGGTGGAGCGTTTCTCCTCTGCACGGAGCAGCCTCGTGTGTGGCCTCCTGTCCTCACACCTCTGCCCCGGCGTCTGCAGGAACCTGCAGTGTGGTGAGTTTTGTGAGAGGCCGGGGTGGCGCCCGGGCCTCTTGGGCTCTGCCGTTGGTCCTGGGCTGGCTTTGGGCACCGCCGTCCTGCTCTCGCACACAACACTCCTCTTCATGTTTCTCTCTCTGTTGGACCTGGGCCGTGGGGTGGGTCTGTCACCCCACCTGCCTGGGTGTGTCCCTTGCTCATCGGTCTGGGCCCTGTGCCTGGCACCTTCCGTCCTGCAGGGCCTGTGCTGGGAACCCAGGACGTGGGTGTCCCTGGGTCTCCTGGTGGCGATTGGGAATGGCTTGTGGCCCTGTTGTGAGCAGGTGGGAGGCGTTAACCCTTGTAGCTAGATGCTTCCTGAGAGCAGCCAAGTTCTTTGCTGGAGCAGAAGTCGCTAAACCTGCAGGGCCAGGGCGGGAGGGGCCGCCCAGGCCTCGGGCACTTGCCAACTCAGTCTTCATGTGGGTGTGAGCGTTCAGGTTGGTGCCTTCAGCAGGCGTCAGCTTCCCCTTTAAGAAACTGAAACTGTGTTTATTTTTCTTTCATTTTTTTTTGGCTTTTTGGGTCACACCTGGCAATGCACTGGGGTTGCTCCTGGCTCTGCACTCAGGAATCACTCCTGCCGGTGCTCAGGGGACCCTATGGGAGGATGCTGGGAATCAAACCCGGTCGGTCACGTGCAAGGCAAACACCCTCCCCGCTGTACTATCACTCCAGCCCCTGTGTTTATTTATTTCTATTTTATTTTATTCATTTGTTGGTCTTTTGGGCCCTACGGGTCTCTCTGTGCTCAGGGATCACTCCGGTGGGGTTTGGGAGACCTTAGGGTGCTGGGGACGGACCCCGGGTTGGCGCACAAGTGCCCTCCCCGCTGTGCTTGCTCCCTGGCCGGGTCCCGCCTTCCGAGGCGGCCTCGGCGCTGGGCCGTGGGGTGCGGGCAGAGGCGGGCGCGCATCTCCTGGCCCCCACGCGCGAGCGGCCTGCCCCCTCCCCAACGGGGCTCCTCCGTGGTCCACTCGGCTCTGCCCTCGAGGTCCCGTCCCTTTCGCGTCTCGCCGGCGCCTGGTCCCTCTGTGGATCCAGCACACGGGAGAGCCCCGCCCGCTGCCCCGGAGCCGCCAGGGCTGCGTGTCCTGTCTGGTGGCTCCACCTGGGACAGGCTGGAGGCGGCCACGCCCTCCCCGCCGGCCCGCTCCTTGGCCCTGGCTCCCTCGCTGCACCTGCCTCGGCCCTCCCCACACTGGCCACGCCCACCCCACACTGGCCACGCCCCTCCCACGATGGCCCCGCCCCTCTGCCCTGGCCCCCTGGCTGCACCTGCCTCGGCCCTCCCCACACTGGCCACGCCCACCCCACATTGGCCACGCCCACCCCACTCTGGTCCTGCCCCTCCAACTGTGGCCCCGCCCTCCCCACGCTGGCCCCGCCCCTCTACCCCGGCCCCCTCCCTGCACCTGCCTTGGCCCTCCCAAACTGGCCACGCCCCTCCCACGCTGGCCCCGCCTCTCTGCCCTGGCCCCCTCCCTGCACCCGCCTTGGCCCTCCCCATACTGGCCACGCCCACCCACGCTGGCCACGCCCCAGCCCTGCTGGTCCGGCCCCCACTGTCACCGCCCCGCCCCACTGGCCCCGCCCCGGTCCTGCCCCAGGGGCCCTTCCCCCCACTAGCCCACCCCTTACCGCACTTGCACACACCCCTTACCCCCCCACCCCCGTCCCCGCCTGCTCAGGGCTGCGGGCTGGCGTGGGCACCAGTTCCCTGCCCCTGAGCTGCCTTTTTCCGGATGGTGGGGACCGATCCGCCACCCTCTCTGCAGGCCACTGCTGAGTTGTCACCCACGCGGTTTCGTTGTGCGGGAAATGCCCCGTGTGTGGGACTCAGGGGCGCTGTGGCTGCGTCCTGCCCCTTTCCTGGGTGCTCAGGGCAGCACCCACGTGGCTGTGTGGAATGGCAGGTCCCCGGTGTGGCTTCCGCGGGCTGACACTGCCCTCGAGGACAGGTGTCCCTGAGACCCGCACAACAGGCCTGCGCGGCAGACACGAGCAGAGAATGGGGACACGCGGGAGGAGGGGTGAGGGGTGCCCTGCTGCAGGAGGTGTCAGGCCCCCGTGTGACCCCAGACTCCCTGTGAAGGGCACAGCCCACCTGCTTGCTCTGCTCTGCGGGTCTGGGTGCTGGGAGGGCGGGGGCTGGGGGCTGAACAGTGGACTCTGGGCGATGCCGAGAGGGATTCAGTTCCCCACGCTCCTCGGCATCCTCACGAGAGGCCCACTCTGTCCGGGTCAGCAATCTCCCGGGACCCCATCCATCTGTGGCCCCCATCATCACCCTGGGACCCCACCGTCCACCTGGCTTCTCCCACCTGGCCCCCACCATCCGTCTGGGTTCTCCCGCCATCTGTCTGGGGCCTCCACCATCCGTCTGGGTTTCACCACCACCCGCCTGGGCCCCCGTGGTCTGGTCCTGGTTCCTTTAGTCTGTGGCAGCCGCGGTGCTGCAGACACAGCTCACAGCCTGTGGTGGGTGTGTCCCGGGGCCTGTCCCTGCTGGCAGGGACCCCTCAGCCCTCAGCGGCACCCGAGGGCAAGAGCGTCATCAGAGGGCCTCACCGCTGTCCTCTCCCACTCTCTCCGCAGACGCAGACCGACACGCTGTGCTCCCCGGGAGCCCGCCCAGGAGCCGGAGCACGCGGAAGCCTCTGGCCTGCATCATCGGGTCCCTAGGTGGGTGTCTGTGGCCCCCGGCCCTCCTGCAGACATTCCGAGCCAGACTCCCCGATGCCCGGTGCGAGCCTCCCGCCCCAGCCCACTTCGTCACTGCATACTTGAGTCTGTTGACTTCTTCAGTGCCTCATTGACCAGAATGGGTAGAGATACACTGTGATCATCAAGGAGCAGACCTCGAAATCTTAGAGAATAGAAGGTTTTTGTTGTTTTCTGGTCTCCAAGCTGACTCCTGACTCTGTGCTCAGGGGTCACTCCCAGTGCGGTGCTGGGGATGAGCCTCAGGTCAGACATATGTAGGGAAAATCTCCCCTGCCGCAGGGTCTCCATGGCCGCTGAACTGTCCCCTGAGGTCCCGGCGTCAGCCTCTTCCTGCCCATCTGCCTTCCCGGAAGCAGAGCGCTGGGTCCTTTGGTGACTTGGGGGGTTCTGGTGAGAGGCCACACCTGGCAATGCTCAGGTGTTACCTCTGGCTCTGCACTCAGGGCTCACTCCTGGCGGTGCTCGGGGGACCCTCTGGGGTGCTGGGATCGACCCAGGTCAATGCCCTCTCTGCTGTGTGATCCCTCCGGTCCCCTCTGTGACTTTTCAAATGAGGTGAAACATCCTGGGGTAGAGCAGTCACCAGCGGGTTTGCTCCCTGCACGTGGCTGAGCCCGCCTGCCCCCCCCCCCCTCCAGCACCCAGCACAGAATGGAAGATGGCAGGACTGACCTTGAACCTACCCCCAAGGAGACTGCTCTGGGTCGGACTGCCTCAGGCGGTGTGCACAGAGCGTCTGTCGCCTCTGGCGGTCTGGGGTTTGCTCCAGAAGCCCCGGAGCAGGCGCCCACCCCCGCCTCTCTGCAGGGAGGAGACAGCTGGCAGAGTCGCGCCTGACCCCCGGGTCTGGCCTTGCGGCCGCAGAGCCCAAAGCTCAGAGCCCAGAAACGGCGTGTCCCTCGCCAGAGCCCCCGCCCGGTGCCCTGCGGCTCTGCGCCCTTCCTGGGGGCGAGGAGGCTGCTCTGACCCCCCAAACACCACACGTCCCTCAGGGACCTGCCCCGGCCTCCACCTTTGCGGTCTGTGTCCCCTACAGAACCCTGAGAGCTGCCACCCGACCCCAGGGAAGGTTCTGGAAGCTGCACTGCCCCGCTGCAGAGCGCTGGTGGCAGGCCTCTCCTGCCAGCTCCTCCCACTCCCGTCTCTGAGGGCATGAGTCCCTGAGTGAGGCAGCAGGGGACCGGGAGGTCACCAAGCCCTCGGTGCACACAGGGGGCATCCGGCCAGCTTCTGGGTGCATGAGGGCAGCCACGGGGGGGGGGGGAGCAACGCGGAGGGTGCCAGGCATGTGAGCCCACCCTCGGGCTACCGGGAGACAGCACCTTCCTGCCCGAACCCTCAGCCAGAGCCGGCCCGGCCGCCCAGGTTCCGGCGGCCCCCTGGGTGCCCTGCCCTGAGCACCTTCCTCCCTCCTCAGAGATCCACCCTGCAAGGAAAGCCGTGATCCGGCCCGCGCCCAGCCTGAAGAGCCCAAGCACCAAGCGCATGCTGCCCGCCCCGAGCCACGCGTCCCTCAGCATCCTGGGCAAAAGGAACTACAGTCACCACAACGGCCTGGACGGTACGTGCCGGGGGTCGCCCTTCCTCAGGCCACACCCCACCTGGTCAGGCAGATCCTCCCGCTGGCTCCTCCCGGAAGAGGAAGGGGAGGCTGCCCGGCCCCGGGGAGCTCTGCCCTGTGTCCTGCCGGCCAGCTGCTCACGAGGAGGGTCAGGGCCCTCTGCCGGGGACCTGGAGGGGATATCCCCAGACCACGCTCACATCCACGGCGACACAGGCTCACTGTGGAGCACGCTCGCCGGTGCACACGCAGGTGCTCTCTCGCACACATGCTGAGCTGCCCTGGGTCCACATGCCCCGTGGGGGGAGGGGGGACACACTTGCTGTGCTGTGTGCTCACTGTGGTGCTTTTCTGTGCTGCTCACGCACTGCATGCTGACTGCTGCACACAGGCTGAAAGGCACGCTCAGCACACGCATGCTCGCCTTAGCACACACTCAGATACACAGCACACTGCACTCGAGCTGATACACACTCAGTGCACTGCACATTGATGCACTCGCTGCACTGCACTTCGGCTTGTGTACAATCACTACACTGCACACTGATGGACTCACTGCACTGCACACTGGCCGATGCACTCAATGCACTGCACACACTGGCCGAGGCGCTCATTGCACACTAACCGATGCTCTCACTGCACACTGACCGATGCTCTCACTGCACACTGACCGATGCTCTCGCTGCACACTGACCGATGCATTCAATACACTGCACACTGGCTGATTCACTCAATGCACTGCACAATGGCCGATGCACTCAATGCACTGCACACACTGGCCGAGGCGCTCATTGCACACTAACCGATGCTCTCACTGCACACTGGCTGAGACTTTGCACACTGGCTGATGCACTCAATGCATTGCACACTGGCTGAGATTCTCACTGCACACTGACCAATGTTCTCACTGCATACTGGCTGAGGCTCTCACTGTGCATTGGCCGATGCATTCAATGCACTACACACTGACTAATGCACTCAATGCACTGCACACTGGCTGAGGCTCTCACTGCACACTGACCGATGCTCTCACTACACACTGGCTGAGACTTTGCACGCTGGCTGATGCACTCAATGCACTGCACACTGGCTGAGGCTCTCACTGCACAATGGCCGATGCACTAAATGCACTGCACGCTGGCTGCACACAGGCTGATGCACACAGCTCAGCTCACTGGCTGAGATGCTCATGCCTGCTGTCCTCCTGTGCAGATGTTGGGTCTGCCATGTGAATCAGTGGTGCTCCTGGGGCTCCTCGCTGCTCTGTGATCTCTGAACATGGCAGTGATCCCCACTCCTTTCTCCTGATACATCTTTTAACTGCTCAAGAGCTGGGTTGGAAGCACCTCAGGCGGGCAGTGAGCGCAGCAGTGCCGTGTCCGGGCTGGGGACTGAGCCTCTCCCTCCCACCCCAAGGGCTTCTCTGGGGCTCGGCCATGTGACGAGTCAGTGGACTGAGCTGCTTCCTGGGGACTGGGAAACACGCAGCGCCTGGCGCCGTGGGCAGCAGCGTCCACCTCGCCCCCGGATGCTGACCTCTGGCACTCTGATGAATAAAGCTCTCTGGGCTCACCAGCCTCCTGGCCTCAGTTTCTCCAGTGACTGCTCCGCCAAGGGAGGAAGGTGGGCAGTCACCCCTGGGAGCACAGACCAGGAGCACCGAGGGAGGCAGGGAGGACGTCAGGAGGGTCGCAGCGGGGAGGCAGACGCCGTGGTGCCTGCTGGGAGCTTGACAGGGAAGCAGGAAGCGCTTCAGACACGCTCCCCGGGTCTCTCCACTGTGGCCCGGTCTGTTCCCGTGTGTCTGCTCTCCTTGACCACGTCCCGTATTGGTTCTTTGCAACACATCCATTGTCCGTTCTCCATGTCCACTCTCTGTGACCACACCCCATCTCCTCCATGGCCACCTTCTCTGTGACCAGCTGCCCGTGGAAGTCCCTCAGAGACACTCTGGGGCTTTCGTGAGAGTGGACGTGCGAGTCTGGTTCCCGCCAGGCCACAGGAGCTCTGGTCTGGGCCCTGGCAGCTCGTGGGGTCAGGGTGCAGTCACCCCTCTAAACAGACCCACCTGGACACAGGTTGCTGGCCGGGCGTGTCCTGGCACCCGGGTGCCTCCCTCGGGGGATTCCCAGATGGAGAGGAGGTCTTCGCCCCTGGGGCAGCTCTGTAGTGTGGTTGGGGACCCCCATTCGGAGCCCCCAAAGGCTCAGTCCCAGACCCTCCTGGGCCCAGACCCCCATGCCCAGAACCCCTGTGCCCACCCCCCCAGTGGCAGACCCCCTGGCCCAGGCTTTCTCAGGAGCATGCGGAGACGGGCCAGGTGGCACCCCCGGGAGGGCCCTGGGGAGCCTCGGTGCTGGAGGCCACACTCGGTTCCACGCCCGGGGCTGACCCCCAAGCATCTCTCTGGCTGAGGAGGTGCCATGGGGTCTGCAGGACCCACCAGCCCCGCCCTGCCAACCCTGTAGCTCCCCAAGTCTCCGTGAATCTCCCCTCCCGGTTCTGTTAGAGTAAGCGCGTGGCGGGGGGGGGGGGGGGCTGGCTGGTGGGTGGGCGCAGACCTGGGAGTCTGGGGGGCAGGGGAGGGCGGGGGCTGTGGGCGGGGCTGGGGGGCTGGGGGGCTGCAGCCCGTCCTGCCGCTCTCGTCCAGCCACACGACTTGGGGCTTCCTGGGGGCCACTTCAGGGACTCTTGGCCAAGTCTGCAGTGCTGCGGGGGCCCAATGGGCCGGGGCGGGTGACCCCGGGCGGCACTGCCTCCACCCTCTCCCACCCGCCCTGTCTCTCGCTGGCCCTTGAGGTGACAGGCCTGTGCCCAAGTTGTGTCCGCGGCTGCCTTGTCCTTTCACCGGTTGCTGAGGGCATTTGTCGGGGTCTGTTCCGTGGAAACGCAGGGTCCGCCTCAGCCGCCCGCAGGCGAGAAGGGGGCCGGGGCGCGGGGGCCAGAGGCAGGGTCGGGACTGGGCTTCCAGCACCCCTGCACCTCAGTGCCTCCTTTCCCTCCGCGGTGCAGGCTCCTCCCAGACCTAGAAGATCTAGAACCTTCCGTCCGCTGCCCTGCTCTCACACAGTGGCTGTGGCCGGCCTGACTCTGGCACGTCCCGGCCCGAGGGAGCCGCACCCGAGTGCAGCGCTGGCCTCTCCTTCCCCTGTCCACTGCTCTCACCTGCCCCAGGCTCCTCCCCATGCGCTGCCCTGAGCCAACCCGGAGGCGGGCAGGGGACGCCAGGTTTGTGGGGTCAGGCGGCCCCGCAGGCGGCCGCAGAGTTTCGGGGAGCCCTGGTGACATCAGAATGCAGCACACGGCGGACAGCAGTGAGGCTTGTGTGACCCCCACGCTGGGGTCTGGAGCCCCCGAGAGGACCCACACGCTGAGGCCGGGGCTGTGGGCAGGGGAGGCGTGGGGACCCGCAGGTGGAAGGGACACCCACCTCCACGAGACCCTCAGTGCCCCGGAGAGACCCCCTGGTGTGCGGCCCCCCTGCCCTGTCTCGGGGAGCGTGTATGGGGGCTGTGCCACGCCCATCCCCCTCCCATCCCCTCCCCCTCCCCCCCTCCCCTCCCCTCCCCCTACCCCCTCCTCCTCCTCCTCCGTGTTTGTTTGGGGGCCACACCTGGTGGTGCTGGGATGGAAGCTGGTCACCGCGCAAGGCCAGTGCCTTCCCCATCCTTTCTGGAGATGCAGGGGTGAAGTGGGGAGGGCAGCTGGTGTGGCGTCTGGCTCGGGGTCTCAGATGCCACGAGGGTGCGCTCGCCCCCAGCTCTGGGGCAGCCGTGGCTCAGACCAGGCAGGTCTGGACCCACTTGGGGCCAGTGGCCAGGCCAGAGCTCGGTCCCCGGTGGCTGCTGGGGGACTTCCCGTGTGGCCCCACCACCCAGGGCCCCACGCTGGAAGGGGAGGGGCGCGGAGGCCTCCCGTTCACCTCGGGGTCTTCCTCCCACGAGGGGCCGGACTGAGGAGCCCAGCAGGGAGCTGGGCTGACGGTGGCCTCGCGGGCGGGCAGGGCCTTGGCCTTGGCTGTGGTCACCCTCGGCCCTGGGGCGCCCCAGTGTCCAGCGGCCCCGCAAGCATTCTGACGGCCCGAGAGCCCCGGCTGTGAGGCCAGGGCGCCCACCCGCAGGCGAAGGTCAGTGTGGTCCTGGAGGGCCCCAGCCCAAGGTCACCCCGGCCCAGCCACACCACGGCCCCACCCGGCTACTCTTTCTGCTCCCACTGGCCCCCTGCCCCTGCAGGCTCCCCCACTCGCCACCCCTGACCCCGCCTCCTCACACAGCTGCAGACAGTGAGGGCAGGTAAGGCCACACCCCAAGTTCCTGACTGACTGAGCCTGCAAAGCTCAGGAATGTTCAGGAATAAACAGGATCCCTGCTGGTGAGGCGTGACTGTTCTGAGACAGAAGAGTGTCCTGGGGACCCCAGACACTGCAAGAAAGACTCGGTGGACGGGGTAGAAGCAGGACCATGCTGCAGGGGGGCTGCAGAGACAGCTGCGGGACACCAGCGGCCCAACCACCCCCACGGCCTCGGGCCCAGCAGCTGGCAGGCACACATGCGTGCACGCGCACACACACACACGCATGCACACGCATGCACACGCATGCACACACGCACACACGCACACACGCCCAGACATATGCACACACATGCAAGCACACACACACAAATGCACACACGCGCACACACACACGCACACACCTGCAGTCACACTCACCCATGCTCACACATGCAGGGGCCACGTTGCCTGTTCCTGGACCCGGAGCTTTATTGCGGCCACTTTAGGGTGCAGGGGACAGGGCAGGGTCATGGCCCGCAGTCTGGGGCTTTAGAGGAGGGGACCCTGGTGGCAGGCGGGCAGGCGGGTCACCTCGGCGTGGTGAGCTCACCCCAGGGGCTTCTTGTTGGCGGGGTCCTGCGTCACTGAGAGCGCCACGCAGCCGCGAGCCCTCGTCCAGGAGTACCTGTGGACCAAGAGGGGGTCACGCGGCCGTGCTGGCCCGAAGGGGTGCCCCCAGCCACGGGACTCACGCGGTCCCAGCCGGCACCAGGAGGCTGTCGTCCGCGGCCAGCTCATGGCGCTGTCCCCCCACGATCACCACGGAGGAGCCTTCCTGCGAGGAGCAGAGCCGTGAGGACGCCGTCCCTGCCGCCCCCGCCGCCCCCTCGGCCATGGCCCCCGCCCACCCCCACTTGCCAGCTGCCACAGCCACTCGTCCACGTCCCGTGCGGGGAACTCGCCACTGCCTTGTCCCAGGACCAGCACCTGCGGGGGCAGCCGGTTTGTCCCCAGACACCCGTGGGAGACTATCTGCTGCACACGCATGAGTGATCAGTCTCCCGTATGTGTGAGCACATGCGTGTCTGTGCCTGCACACGCGTGTGGTCACCCGTCCCTTTTCTGTGGCTGCTGGCCAGGCTGCCTCACCTGCGTCTCATAGGTGTCCCCAAACAGGCTGAGGGGTGCGCCCGCCTGCAGCGGCCCGCGGTGCTCGTCCAGCCAGCCCTCCAGGGACATGGGCTTCATGACCGCGCGTGTGCTCAGGGCAAAGGGCGGCTCTGGGCGCAGCTGGGCTGCAGCACACAGTCCGTGTCAGGGCCCCGTGGGGCTGCCCAGTGCCCAGGCCGCTCTGGTCCAGGGGGAGTGGTCAGTACTGGGCAGCCCCTGGAGCAGCCCCCCGGCTCTGGGAAGGGGAAGGGAGGCCTCACCCAAGATGGGCTTCCCTGTGCGGTACTGCTCCGAGTTGAAGAACCTGCAGACAGGCCAGGGCGTCTGAGCACAGAGGCAGGCACGCACACGCAGTGCACACGCGTGCACACATGCAACACACAGCACACATGTACACGACACACGCAACATGCATGCATGCAACACACAACACACATGTACACTGCACACATGCACACGCACACAGAACACAGCACACACATGCACACAACACACTTACACACAACCCCAACCCACATGGATACAACACACATGCACGAGATGCACACACAAAACACCCACAACACATGCACACCACACACACGCACACGCACATGCATTCGCTCTGGGGTCCGAGAGGCAGGATAGCCCAGGCTCCCGGGGGCGGCCGCCTCCCTCCCGGGGGCTCCACAGCGCCAGGGGCCAGGCGGGCTCACTCCTGGATGATGGGCACCAGCTGGGTGCCGAGGTCCTCGCAGTAGAACCACTTCTCAAACAGGACGTCCGTGCTGTCCCCCACATAGTACCTGAGGACAGAGGCACACGGTGAGTCCTCCGGGCTGGCCTGACGCTGGGGGGCTGGCGCCGAGCCCCTCTGCTGCCCGCTGGCTCCTCGTGATTTAGCAGATGTCCTTCGCGCCCCCAAGCTCGGCCCTTCCTGACTGCTGAGTCGGTCTTTCCAGCGCTGCTTGTCTGGGAGAAGCCAGATGCTGCGGACGCGGACACGCCACTTCCCTCAGACGGCTGGGCGTGCCCTGACCCCGAGCAGCTGAGCAGAGGCAGCACTTGACCTCTTGCTGGCAACACCCAGACCACGTTACGCTTCTGCTGGGACCCCCACACGCCCCCCCCCACCTCCCAGCCCCTACCTGCCCCTGGTACCTCCCAGCTCCCCACCTGCTCCTCAGACCACTGAGCTCCCCTCCTGCCCCCTGCACCTCCCAGGCCTGGCCTGAGGGTCCCAGCCAGGCCTTCCTGGCCTCGGTGAGGAGAGGTGGGCTTCCCCGGGGGGTGCCCAGCTGCCAGCCCCACCACCAGTGGCAGCCGGGAGCCAGCGAGGGGAGCGTCTGGGCCGCGTTTGCAGGGGCAGGATGCCGCCGTCCGCACCCGCAAGTCAGAGCAGAAAGAGGGTTGAAAGACCCTCCCACCCCGACGTGGCAAGGCCCCCCCAGGACCCCCCTCCCAGGGCCCGGCCCTTCCCGGGGCCTCCTGGCCCAGGCCTCACCTCAGCCCGTCCAGCTCCGTCTCCAGCCTCCGCCGCTCGACCACGAGCCCCACCGTGTCGGCGAACCGCTGTGGGGAGTGGGGGACCCCCGCGGGCAGCAGGAATATCTGCGGGGACAGGGGACACGGTGCCTCGGACAAGCCTGGCCCCCCCTCCGCCCGGGCTGCTCGGAGACACAGTGGCAAAGTGGCAAGGAGGACGCCAGCCCCGCCCACACCAGCCCTGGCCACGCCCCTACAGGCCACGCCCCCGCCACGCCTGCTATGGCCACGCCCCCGTCACGCCTGCTATGGCCACGCCCCCGCCACGCCCATCCTCCCTGCCGTGCCCTCCTGGCCACGCCCCCTCCTGACCACGCCTGCCCCGCCACGCCCCCGTCACGCCCCCACCCTCCCTGCCATGCCCTCCTGGCCACGCCCCTCCTGGCCACGCCCCTCCTGGCCACGCCCCCGCCACGCCCCACCCGACCTGCCACGCCCCCTCCCGCCACGCCTGCCCTTGCCACGCCCCCCGCCCCCCGCCTGCCCCTGCCACGCCCCCCGCCCCACCCTCTGCGCCCCGGCCGCCCCCACCGACCTCACCTCCCCCTGGCGGATGACCACGTCCCGGTGTCGACCCTGCTCCAGCACCTTGAGGACCATGTCGCCCTGCAGCTGGTAGAACACCTGCAGGACACGGACAGCTGGGCCCGCCGCCCCGCCCTGCCGGGGCCACCCGGGGCCACCAGGGGGGCGCGGAGGGGCCCCGCACGGAGCCCCACCCCGCCCCAGGAGTCCGCGCCAGGGAGGGCGGTGGCGGGGTCTGGGGTCAGGCGGGGCCGCTCGGGGGCCCCCTGCATGTTCCCCTCCTGCTCGCTGAGCCACGGAAGAGCTGGGGACAGCCCGGACCGCGGAAGACGGACACTAACCACGCTGACCCCGGTGACGTCAGGGGACTGGTGTGAGCAGGCCCCGGGGCACCTGCAGGCGTGGACGTAGGCACCTGCGGCCGGGCCCAGTGGCCCCTCCAGGCCACGTCCCTGCCTCTGTCCGGGACAGCATTGCTCTGGGTCGTGTCTGGTTCATAAGTGGGCCCTTGGGTCCAGTGGTCAGCGCCCCGAGGAGGGGCCCGGAGAGTAACAGCAGCAGTAGCAGGAAGACAGACCCTCGGGCCAGTAGGACACTGGGAACAGGCCCTCGGGCCAGTGGGAGCCCAGAGATGGCCCCTCGGGCCAGTGGGAACCTGGGGTTGCCGCTGATCTAGGCAAGGTCGGGAAACTAAGTGGCCACAGGCAACCACGGGAAGCCAGAGCCTCTCTCAGACCACACAGAGGCCACACAGAGGCCAACTGAAGACCCGGGTATCAAACCTGCGTCTGTGAGGTCCGCGGAGAGACACGCGGGCAGCCTCTCAGCTCTTGCCCTCGGAGGCATCTTCAGGAGACAGCCTCATGGGCAAAGTAAGCCACAAGCAAAAATGAACAAGAGAGATTGTTTCGAACCAAAAGGTTCTGCATTGCAAAAGAAATAAATGCTCCACTAGTTGGGAGAAGACACTCACACATCGCACTAATTGGGAGAAGACAGTCAAACATCGCACGTCAAAGGGCACAAAAACACTCATCCAAAAGGACCAAAGACAGAGGGCTGGAGCGATAGCACAGCGGGTGGGAAGTTCGGGTTCGATTCCGCGCATCCCACCCGACCCATATGGTTCCCTGGGCACCGCCAGGGGTAATTCCTGAGTGCATGAGGTAGGAGTAGTGCGTTGTCAGGTGTGACCCAAAAAGCAAACAAAATTAAATAAATAAAAAAGCAAAAGGACCAAACACCCCTCTGTTCACTGCAGCCCAGAGCCGGAGACACCCCAGTGCCCAACACTGATGAGTGGATAAATGTTTGTGGTGTTTCTGTGCTACGGAATACCACTCAGCTATGAGACAAAGATAGAACCTTGCAGCTTGCTGTGACTTGGATGGAACTGGAGGAAGTCACGCCAGGTGAAGCTGGTCACCGTGTTTCACGCAGACATTGAGCGTAAAGAAACAAACCAAGGAATTTGCCAGTCCCCAGTGGAAACACAGAGCTGGTCTGAGGGGCTAGGGAGGCGTGGGGAGGGTCCCGGCACTCTGGCTGACCAGGAATAGGTGATACTATTAGACTATTGAAAAAAAAAAAACACACAATAGAAGTTAATTAGAAGAGATGAGAAATTATGACAGCATGTTTTATTAAACCCAAATTATCTAAAATATTATCATTTGAATAAGCAATAAACAGAAGAAATGCAACTAAGAGAGTTTTGCCTATTTTCTGCACTGGATCTTTCGATTCTAGCTCCTCCCCGCACCCCTGCATTGGTGCTCCCCGAGGCCTGTGCTAATAATCATGGAATGCGGCACTCTATAAAGTATTTGGAGACGGAGGGCTTCCCTCTTTAAAGTGAAGCCCTCTTTGGTCCCAAGTGTTAAATTCTCTTGGAACTCAGACTTTCTTAGACACAATTTGGAAGTGGCCCTTATCAGCAACCACCTAATCCTCAGGTTAGAGTTCAGTGAGGAATCAGCAGAGCCCTGGAAGCCACAAAGAAAGGGTCCGAGCCCATCTGCAGCCACCCTACTGAGTTCAGGGCCAGGAGTCGGGGGTCTGAATGGGAGCTTGGGGGGCTAGGGAGGAGGATGCTGCCCGGGAGCGTGCGACGGCTGAGACCCCGGAAGTTGAATGAGGGGGCTTGGCTGTTCCCACGCTCACCCACACTCACCCCCACTGCCGTCCGTGCAAGGCCATGGGTGGTGCCGGGGGGCCCTCCCTGGCCACGGGGCGGCAGCCGCAGAGCGCACAGGGGCTCAGGTCGCATTGGCTCCATTGCTGAGGTCACAAGCGAGGCAGGAGGGAAGGGGAAGGGGAGCCCCACCAGGCCCTTGGGGCGACTCTGCAACGCTCAACGCCACGCGGGAGGGAGGCCCTATGTGAGGGAGAAGGAAGGGGCTTCTTCCACGTGGGGCCCCATCTCTCAGGCACCAGGGGCACTGGACATGGGCTTGTCCCTGGGCCTCTCTGCCCAGAGGACTTCCTGTGCAGGACAGCTGAGCCACCAACCCAGCCCTGAGCCACAGCCTAACCCCAGCAGACCCCTCTATCAGCTATACAGCCCCGGCGCTCCGGAGGGAGCACGTCAGGGTCGGGCGGCAACAGGCACAGCAGGACCAAGCGGCTTCCAGATGCCCATGACTGCGCTGTGCCCCTCTTACTGACCCCCAGGTCCAGTGTCCCAGACACCAACCCCTGAATATGGCCCTGCCCGGGGGGGGGGGGGGGTGGGCGTGAGGACTCACAGGAGCTGATGCAGGCTGCAGAGGGCAGCCGGGCCCCCGAGGCGGGTGCAGAGACTCAGGGGGCCAAAGCGGAACCTTCTGGGAGGCCGGGGCCAGGCACAAAGTGGTTCTGGGTCCAGGGAGCCTTAATGCTGCTCTGGCTCTGGGCCTCGATGGGTCTCGGAGGAAAGGGGGGTGGGGAGGGGAGGGCAGGAAGGCGTGCAGGGGTGTGGGTGCCTGCCTTTCCCCTTTAATTTTCTTCATGTTCCTTTGCTTTGGGGTAGAGTGGACAGGGGCAGAGTTCAAAGTTTAGGGTTCACGAGGTCACCAGTTGCCCCCCACGAGCGGCTCTCCGGCACGGCCACGACTCCAGAGCGGAGAAACCAATCTCTTAACTATCTAACTTTTAATAGAAATACTTCCAGGGTTAATAAGTAAAACAGCAGAAATCCATCATTTTATTCCTAAACCAAGCTGTAGAAAGCAAATCATTTCACAACGCTGTTTCAGCATATCTGATTGGGGGGGGGGTCGTAAACTCTAAACAATAATTGTGCATCTTCTATCGAAACAATGTATCTAGTCAAAGTCGATAGAGTATTAACTAGAACTCAACTGCCTCACAGGAATTGGGAGGGGTGTGAGGTGGGGTTCTATTGGGGTTCGCGGTTAAAAATAAGTATTGGTAAAGGGAAATGTGTTTGATACTTACATGACTGAGACCTAAACCCGAAAGCTCTGTAACTTTTCCCACAGTGATTCAATAAAGAAATAAATTATTAAAAAAAATAAATAAATAAAATAAAATAGAAAAAAAAAGTTTAGGGTTCAAAGTTCATTCAGGGCACTACCTTCCTCTACCCCCAAACCAGTCAGAAGGCGGCAGCCTCGGCTTGTCTGGACCCTCGGGTGTGGGGCTCCGGAGGGCAGTGCCTGGACTCGCCCCGGCCCCCCTGCCCACAGCTCCCCCCTCCTCCAGGCGCCCGGTGGGTCTCTGCTGGGTCCCCGCACTCACCTCCTCCCCCTCCTCAATGTGGAAATCCTTCCTGGTGTTGGGGCCCCCCACAAACATGACCTTCAGCTGCTCCTGGTGCCTGCGGGGAGACAGACGCTCGGGTCCTGCTGCCCCCAGCAGAGGCCAGGCGGGACGGGGGTGGGGGGCGGCGGTGAGGGACACGGCACGGGTTCCTCGCCTGCCATCCCCAGATCGGGGGACACAGGGGACCCCTTCCTGGGGGGCGGGCAGTGAAAGGTACGGTGGCCTCTGCCCCCAAGCTGCTGGGCTCCAGAGGGCACATGGGGGGGGGGGCGGGAGTGGTTCTGAGGGTGGTGAGCGGCGGTGGACCGGGGCCAGTCTCCCTCAGCCACACTGGACACAATCTAGAGACCCATGGAAGATTCTGGAACAAGTCTGCCAGGCCCCCAGCCTCTCTCCGGGTCGGCCTGCGTTCCCCGGTTCCTATGTGGTGAGCAGAGCCCAGGAGCTGGCACGGGCGGGGCAGCGGGCAGGAGGGTCAGGCTGCCGCCCCCGAGCAGCTGCCCATGTCCCCATCGAAGGGCCAAAGGCCTGCTGCTGGACCAGGGGAATGTCCAGCGTGGCGGGCCCCCTGCAGTGCTGGCCACAGGCCCGTCCCCGATGACTGCGGGGCCTAGTGGGGGCCCAGGGGCAGTGGGGTCACTTCTAAAGCTTGGCCCCGGCCTGGGTAGCTGTGGGGTGCAGGGAGACACAAGCCGGGCCCCAGTGAGGGTCCCCCAGAACTGCAGGAAGGCACAGCCTGGCTGCTGCTGGGGCTGAGGGGGACATGGGAGCCCAGCACGGGGGTCCAGGGGGTCTAGGGGAGCAGCGGCCCAGCACGGGGCAGCAGGGGGCTGCAGCTGGGAGCAGGAGGGCCCCTCTGAGCGTGCCCTTTGCCAGCAGGTTCAGGGCCGAGTTGGGGTGCAGGATCGGGGAGTGCCCTGCCCTGATTCCTCTGAAACTTGGGGGCAGGGAAACCCCTGCCGCAGCCTCCCAGAATCAGGGGTCGAGCTGAGTCTCAGGCTGAGGGGGCCACACCTGCGGTGGCCTCGGCACCCCCACCCACCAGAAGTGACGGTCATGACGGCCTCCAGAAAGAGGAACACAGGCGGGGAGTCCCGGAATGACCACAGCCGCCTGCTGCGGGAGCCCCGGGGATGGGGGGTGCAGGGGTGCAGGGTGCAGGGTGCGGGGTGCGGGGGCGCGGGGGCACGGGGGCACGGGGCTGGGCTCACAGCAGCTTGTTGCAGACGGGAGGCAGGAAGAAGTGGCGGTTCCCATCCACCCAGCTCTTCACCCGCACGGGGTGCTGCATGGCTCTGGTGCCGGTGCCGGGTGCCGGGTGCCGGGTGCCGCGTCCTGGGAGAGCCGCGTCTGCTCGGGCCTGGTTAATCAGCATCCTGGCCGCGGGCGGGGCCGCCCCACACTGGGGGCGGGAGCTGGGGGGACTTTGACCTGGGCTCCCCTGGCCTGTCCTCGGCCCCGCAGCCCCAAGCCCTCGTCCCCCAGGCCCCACACACCCCCTTCAGCTGGCGCCTGCCACAGGGGGCAGGACGAAGACCCTGAAGGTCCCAGTGTGGACACGGGCACCAGCTGGCCAGTGCCACAACGTGGGGGCTGGGGACTGTGGGGACCCGTCCAAAGGGCCTGCGGAGAGCCAGGGGTCCCCGAATTCCACTGGGGCACAGCCAGCCCGTCCTGCCCCACTCGCCACACCTCAGAGCTCAGTGCTGGCCACTTCTTCTAGAATCTTCTGCGGCACCAGAATTCGAGGAACCTCATTTTCTCTCGGTTCCATCTGGGCACTCAGAGGCCCTGGGTGTGGGGGGAGCAAAGGCCCTGTGGTTGGCTACAGCGGGGGGGGGTGGGGCTGGGCCGGCTGCTGGCCTTGGTCACTCCCACCCTGGCCACTCTCTGTCTTCTCTCTGACCTCCTGACTTCAGATGGCTCTGCAGGAACGGCAGAAGAAAGGCCGGGGGAATGGAGGGGCCGAGCCACAGCGGGCGGCTGGTTCGGGAATCTGGGCTCTGGCCTCAGGATCTCTTTCAAGTTTGTGGATTTTTTTCTTTTGAGATTTGGGGCCACACCCAGCAGTGCTCAGGCTACTCCCAACTCAGTGCTCGGGGGTCACACCCGGAGGCCCTCAGGAGCACGTGGGGTGGGGGCAGAGGTCAGGCAGGGCCTGCAGTGCGGCCCCTCCGAGCTCCTCCTGAGCCCCTTCCCCGGGTCCTCGGAGTCTGCTGGAGGCTGCCGGAAGGACCCCCGGCTCCGCCCACAAGTCCTGTGTGCCTGGTACCCGGGGCTGCACTAACGCGACCCCGTGTTTGTTTGGGGTGCACCTGGCAAACAGGCCAGAGGCGGGGGCTGGTGCTTGGGGAGGGGCCGCAGAAGAGCCAAGTAAGGGGACCCCGGCCTGGACAGCCCCAGGGCCCCTCGGAGCTGCTGGAAGGCGGCAGCTGCACCTGAGCGCCCAGAAGAGGCGTCTCCCACGGGACCACGGCGTCCACCCGGCTGCTTTGCTGCGCCCCACCCTTGCTGCTGTCTGTCATTCCCGCTGCCCGGCCCCCCACCCCCGCTGCTGTCCCGCCTGGATGTGCCTTTGGGGCTCACATGCCTGTGGGAGAGCGTGGCCTCTGCCTAGGGGGCTCCCAGCTCTGGCCACGTACTGCCCTGCTGGGCTGGGGCTCCACGTCACCCCCGCCTCTGCTCTCTCTTCTCCTGTTCTGGCTCTTCTGCCCCAGGCCCAGGGGCATTGGGTTCCCCCGAGGGCGCCGTCCCCACGCCCTCCCGTCAGCCTGGTCAGGCACAGGTCACGGAGGTGCCAGGATGTCCCTGTCGCAACCTCTGCTGGGCTATGGCCCTGTCCCCCCATCCCCGTACCTCGCTCCAGGCCTGTCGGGTCTCGGTTCCAGCGTCCTGGTGCTGGTGGGGCCACGCTCTGCTTGTCACGTGGGTGACTGGATTTGGGGCTCACGTTTGAGAAGCCCCAGACTGTTTCCTCCGTGACCTTCCCAAACACTGCCAGCAGCCAAGAGGTCCAGCATCTGTGTTCATCGCTCTGCCTGGCTCTGGCTCTTCACGCTGAGGCAGCCGGTGTCACCTCCAGACTCTCCCGGGGTCCCTGTGGAGGGGGGGCGAGGGGGAGCACTGTGCCCCCAGTGGTGGCAGAGGAGATGCATGTCCACCCGGCACCAGGGCACTCGCCCCAACACGGTCTCACCAACACACCTCCCAGGGCCGGATGGCCGGCAAAGGGCCCAGACACCTCACTGCAGGGGGCAGAGCCAGGACAGGGTGGGCGCTGGCTTCAGTTCGATCCCCGACACCACGGAGGGTCCCCCAGGCCCACAGGGTCAGGAGTGAGCCCTGAGCACTGCCAGGGGGCCCAGAGCAAACCAAAAGCCCAAGAACACCGAAGAGGAAGAGGGCGTGTGTGGGAACAGAAAGTGCTGCGGGCAGCCGGACCTGCCCCGCCGGCCCCACCCTCTCCCCCAGTCCGCGTCCACGCGGAAACGGGACCGCAGCGCAGCGGGGGGCTTCTCTCGGTCACTGGGGACGACAGGCGCCCCGATGGGGTGTCCGGCACCATGCTGACGCTGACGTCCTCGGCCCACGTCCCTCGGCCAAAAGTGGGCTCACGTCCACGCTCGTGCACGCGCCAGGGAATTCCCTAATTCAAAGCTGTTTCCAGCATTTTCTCTGAAAAATGCCCGAGTGTCTTCGCTGTGCAAAAGCGGGCAGAAGCGCTACCGTGAAGGAGTCAGCACAGGGCAGCGCTGCCCTGGCCCGGGAGCGCGGGCGGCGCCCGGAGCCACGGGGAGACCCGGCAGCAGCCTGCGCCCAGCGCGCCTCTGCGGACCAGGGCCAGTAGGAGTGGGCGGAGCGTCGAGGCGGGGCCTGTGTGAGTGGGCGGGCGTCGGGGCGGGGCCTGTGGGAGTGGGCGGGGCGTCGGGGCGGGGCCTGTGGGAGTGGGCGGGGCGTCGGGGCGGGGCCTGTGGGAGTGGGCGGGGCGTCGGGGCGGGGCCTGTGGGAGAGGGTGGGGTGTCGGGGCGGGGCCTGTGGGAGAGGGTGGGGTGTCGGGGCGGGGCCTTGGGACTGGGTGGGGGCGTCGGGGCGGGGCCTGCGGGAGTGGGTGGGGCGTCGAGGTGGGGCCTGTGTGAGTGGGTGGGGCGTCGGGGCGGGGCCTGTGGGAGAGGGTGGGATGACGGGGCGGGGCCTGTGGGAGAGGGTGGAGTGTAGGGGCGGGGCCTGTGGGAGAGGGTGGGATGTCGGGGCGGGGCCTGTGGGAGTGGGTGGGGCGTCGGGGCGGGGCCTGTGGGAGTGGGCGCGCGTCTGGGCGGGGCCTGTGGGAGAGGGTGGGTGACGGGGCGGGGCCTTGGGACTGGGTGGGGCGTCGGGGCGGGGCCTGTGTGAGTGGGTGGGGCGTCTGGGCGGGGCCTGTGTGAGTGGGCGGGCGTCTGGGCGGGGCCTGTGGGAGTGGGCGGGCGTCTGGGCGGGGCCTGTGGGAGAGGGTGGAGTGTCGGGGCGGGGCCTTGGGACTGGGTGGGGCGTCGGGGCGGGGCCTGTGTGAGTGGGTGGGGCGTCTGGGCGGGGCCTGTGTGAGTGGGCGGGCGTCGGGGCGGGGCCTGTGTGAGTGGGTGGGGCGTCTGGGCAGGGCCTGTGGGAGTGGGCGCGCGTCTGGGCGGGGCCTGCGGGAGAGGGTGGAGTGTCGGGGCGGGGCCTTGGCACTGGGTGGGGCGTCGGGGCGGGGCCTGTGTGAGTGGGTGGGGCGTCTGGGCGGGGCCTGTGGGAGAGGGTGGAGTGTCGGGGAGGGGCCTTGGGACTGGGTGGGGCGTCGGGGCGGGGCCTGTGTGAGTGGGTGGGGCGTCTGGGCGGGGCCTGTGGGAGTGGGCGGGCGTCTGGGCGGGGCCTGTGGGAGAGGGTGGGTGTCGGGGCGGGGGCCTGTGTAAGTGGGCGGGGCGGAGAGTCGGAGGCGGGGCCTGTGAGAGTGGGAGAGAAGGGTGGGGGCGGGATCTGGGTAAATGAAGGGGCGGAGCCTGTTGAGAGTGCGGGGCGGGGTAGGGGGCGGGGCCTGCGAAAGTGGGAGGGGAGGAGAGTCGGGGCGGGGGGGTTTCTGTGCGGGTGGGCGGGGCGGAGGGTTGGGCGGAGCTTGCATACATAGAGGGGCGGAGCCTGTTGAGTGCGGGGCGGGGTGGGGGGGCCCTGAGTAAGTGGGCGGGGCGGAGAGACTGGCGGGGCCTGCGGAGAGGGGTGGCGAGCTGGGGGCGGGGGCTTGTGTCAGTGAGCGGGGCGGGGAGCCGGGGCGGGGCCTGTTGAGTGTGTGGGCGGAAAGTAGGAGGCGGGGCCTGGCGCCAGCGGGCGGGGCGGAGAGCCGGGGCGGGGCTGGCGTCAGTGGGCGGGGCCCGGCGTCAGCGGACGAGGCGGAGAGCCGGGGCGGGGCCGGGGCGTCCCGGGCGCACGCGCGCTGACACAGGCTCCGGCCCGTGCCCCTGGGGCGCTGCACGCGCGTCCTCGGACTGAGGCTCGGGCTGTGGTTCCGGCAGCGCTGCCCAAGAGCCGCGCCGCTCTTCCTCAGGTCCCCGACCCACCCCTGGCCCGGCACTCCCCTCGCGCAGCCCTTCCGAACCCCCCGAACCGCGCCTCCCGCCCGTCCGCCACGCCCGCCTCTGCGCATGCTCCCCCGCCGGCCCCAGTGCGCATGCGCCCCCGCCGAGTGCGGCGCGCATGCGTCTCGGCGGGCCCGGCCCCACCGCGTGAGCCTGATAGAGCCTCGCGAGAGCGGCTGAGCGGAGCTCCAGTGGCGCAATCGGTTAGCGCGCGGTACTTATACGGCAGTACGTGCAGAGCAATGCCGAGGTTGTGAGTTCGAGCCTCACCTGGAGCACGACCTTTTGGGCGCCCGCGCCTCTTTTGTGTCTGCCCGCAGCGGCCGCGCAGCCTATTTAGCCCGCGACGCGCCTGCGCCCCGCGGCCCCCCGACGGCTCCCGCCCCGGCCCGCGCGCGCCCGGCGCCTCGTTTTGGGGGTCGGCCCGCGCGCCCACCCGCCGCAGCCGGCCACGTGCTCAGGGGGGCCCGGCAGAGCCCCAGCGCGCGCCAGAGCCCCTCGGGGACGCCGGGCCTCGCGGTCTCGGGGCCTCCCTGCGCGCCGGCCCGCGCACGCCTGCCCGGACTCCCCCCTCAGTGCTCCGGGCTCCCCGGCAGCCGCGCCCCCTCGCCCCTCTCTGCCCCTCCCTTTCTCGCCCCCTCTCTCCGGGCCCCCCCAGGCCCTGCAGCCGGGCGCCCGGTGGAAGGTTCTGGGTGGAGAGCGCCCCAGGGCGTCCTTCTCTGGACGGCGGGGCGGGCCTGGGGGAGGGAGCCCGGCCCCTGCCGACTGCCGCCACCCGCACGGGGCAG